TCCTGGACCATGGACCCTGGGGGGGGGAGGGGGGGGGACCCGTGGAGCGCCTGACCATATATGACTACATGTGTATATGGACCCTTAGGGTTATTCAAAAAATAGCATGACGGGCCCTGCCTGGAAGCAAACTCCCTGCCGAGCTCGCTGAAGAGGAGAACGGCATATGGCCATCGGGCATGGCCTTGGGGTAGCCGAAAGCTCGCATAACATATAGGGTTTAGGGATGTTTAGGGTTTAGGGTTTAGGGTTTAGGGTTTAGGGTTTAGGGTTTATAGACTAGAGGCTCTAAGGCCTCAGGGTTTTGAATATTAAGGATCGTGAAGCTACGTAGGTTTCGAATAACATAGGATAGAGCTTCTAAAGCTCCAGGTTTTTAAGGATCGTGAAGCTACGGGGGTTTGAGGATGGAAGCAAGTAGGGTGCACATGGCAAGGCTGCACTACCACGAGTGTCGGAATCGCATATTGGGGCTTCTGAAGCCAAAGGCTCTAGATCCTGTCTGTAGGGCTTGCAGACACCCTCAGTGCGGAATTTCGAATATTCCAAGGGGCACATGCGCTGGAAGAAGACCTCGACGGACAAGTCGGCTCTGTCACACTGACTAAACCTCGGTACGATTTTGCCGTTATTGCCAGAGGTACTAGACTAAAACCCTAAAGCCCTAGGCCCTAAACCCTAAAACCCGAAACCGTTGCCAGCAGTTGCCGCCGCTCAGGCCTCTGAGTGCCCTGTCCGCACCAATGTTGCTATGCTGGTCGTCGTCGCATAGTAGAGCAGTAGAGGGAAGCAGCAGTCAGAGTGGCAGCAGGAGTAGTAGGAGTCGTGGTAGTAGCAGTAGTCCTCGTCGTCGTGGTCGTCGTCGTAGTAGNNAATAATAATAAGAAAAATAATAACAAACAATAATAATAATCACAAGAATCCATCTCTCAGTGCGGGGCTGGATGCTGAGCGCCATGAGCTCTGATGCATCTCGGATGCTGTCAACATCCATCTCCTGGCCGGATACGGTTCCTAGAGTTTTACAATGTTTATACGATTCTATAGGGGTGTTCTAGGATTCTAGGGTTCAGGATGGGTTCCATCGGGTTTCATACAAGAGCTTCAGGGTTTGATACGAGGTTTGATACGAGCTGTATAGGGTTCCAGCACGGTTTTATCAGGGTTGTTGTATGTGCGGTTTTGGGTTTGGGTGTTCAGTAGATGGCTTCGTACAGTCGCGTCCTGTGGCTTTGGCGTCATTTCGCCG